ATATGAAAAAGTTTCTTTCATTTTTCTCATTATTTAGTAAGAGCAAAAGTGAAAAATTTAAACATGCATCCTTAGTTTTAATTAATAATTTAATCGATCAACCTGAATTAGAACATCGTATGGATGTAAGAAATAGTTTCATTGAAATTGGACTTGTTAATGAATTAGAAAATATGAAAAATACTGAATGGATGAAAATAGATAAAATTAAAGATTCTATTAATGACTTCTTTGATAGTTGGGAAGAAGATAAAAAGGAAGTAGAGTCTCGTTTTGATGACCTTAAACAAGTAGTTGATTTTGAAAGTACTAAATCATTAAACAATTATGTTACTGAACAAATGGACAAATTTGAGTGCAATGATATTTTGACAAATGTTCATAAAGAAATATTATTCTTTGCTAAAGTAAAAGATGACAATTTGTTATTAATTAAGAAGATTGTAATTCTTACAGGTATTATAAGGCAAATATCTCTTCAAGTCACTAAGAACAATAACGAAAAATCTAATAAAAAAAAGATTGAGTCTGGAGACAATGAAGAAGAACGAATTAAAATTGATGAAGTCTTTGATAGAATGAAACTTGACTGGGAAAAAGTTACAGTGGACCAATCAATTCTTGAAGACCTTAACAAGAAGAAACAAGACTTAAAAAATTCTAAGGAACAGTTACAAATTACTTTAGAAAAAATCAAAACTATCGAAAAAGAAGTATCGTCAATAGACCAAGAAAATTCTGAGGTTAACAAAGAATTAAATGATAAAAAAGAAAAGATTCAACAAATTGATACGGAAAGTAAAAAGATCAATGACGAAATAGAAGAGGTTAAAAAGAAAATAGAACAAACAAAAAAAGAGTTAGCCTCTAAACCTAAGGGTGTTTCTGTCTCTGGCACTTCTTCTTTAGCTCCACCACCTCCACCCCCTGGAGCAAGTTCAGTTCCTCCACCACCTCCACCCCCTGGAGCAAGTTCAGTTCCTCCACCACCTCCTCCTCCTGGAGCAAGTTCAATTCCTCCACCACCTCCACCCCCTGGAGCAAGTTCAGTTCCTCCACCACCTCCTCCTCCTGGAGCAAGTTCAGTTCCTCCACCACCACCACCTCCAGGAATGCCCGGTATGCCTCCTCCACCCCCTCCTCCAGGAATGCCAGGAATGCCTCCACCTCCTCCAGGAATGCCCGGTATGCCTCCACCTCCTCCTGGTATGCCAGGAATGCCTCCACCTCCTCCTGGTGGATTTGGATTTAGACCAGCTGCACCAGTTATTAACGGATTAGTTGATACTCTCCCAAAACCAAAATCCAAAGTAAAGAACTTCATGTGGCAAAAGATGAATGATAAGAATTTAAGTGGAACATTATTTACTAAGCTAGACACATTAGACAAAACAAAGCAAAAATTAGACCTATCATTAATTGAAGCGGCATTCAAAGTTCCTGAAAAAGTTAAACCAGTAGCAGATGCAACCCCAAAAGAAACTAAAAAACAAGGGCCTATTTGTATTCTTGATGCCAAGAATAACCAAACCTTTACAATTTTGCTTAAAGGGTTTAAGAATAAAACACCCGAAGAGGTTTGTGCAGCCATTAATAGTGTAGACCAAACAGTATTTGAAGAAACTTCAACAATAAAAACTATGTTAAAAGCTCTTGAAGATGCTAAAGAAGAAATTGGACAAGTTGAAGAGCATATTAAAGAAAAAGGAACAGATAATTTAGGAAGTGCAGAGATGTTTGTTCATGCATTAAATGGAGTAAGTAATATCACTCTTAAATTAAATTCATTCCAATCAAAAATGGAGCTTCCAGTTAAATTAGAAGAAGTTGGACCAAATATTAAACATGTTATAAAAGCTTCAAATCAATTACTTGATAGTAAGAAATTTATTCATTTAATGGAAGTTATTTTATTAATGGGTAATTTCCTTAATTCAGGAACAGCAAAAGGTAATGTTGCAGGATTTAAGTTTGAAACTCTTAACAAGACTCTTGATACAAAAACTGGTGATAATAAAAGAACACTTCTTCATATTATTCAGGAATATGCTGCTGAAAAATTAAAAGAAGAAGTAGATGGATGGCAAAATGAAGTTACGGAAATTCCATTAGCGGCAAAAGTTCCTGGTGCTCAATTTGAAAGTGATATCAAATCATTAGAAAAAATGTATAATGACATTCAAACGGCTGTAGGAAAAATCCCTGAGGATGGTTCAAAATTCCATCCAATTATGAAAAAATTCCTTGAAGAAACACGAGGTAAATTAGATGCAGTTGCTAAAGACTTTGCTGAAATGAATGAAATATATAAAAAAGCAATTCAATATATGGCACTTGATATTGCTAAACCACCACCCCCTGAAGAATTCTTTACTACATTATCTACTTTTATCTCCAATTGGAACCGTGTTACAGAAGAAAATAAAAAACTTCAGGCACAAAGAGAAAAAGAAGCTAAAAAAGCTGAGGCTGCTGCTGCTAAAAAGGCTGGTAAAAAGAAGACCTCATTAGCACCTATTCCAGGAGAAGAAGGGAATATGGTTAAAGGACGTAGACAAAACCCATTAGCAATGGAAGCAGCTGCTAGTGTTGGTGGGTTAAAGAAAACTGGCTTTACTTTTAAGAAGAAAACAACAAAAGTTTTAAAGACAATGGATATCTAAAGAAAATAATTTACTTTTCGTTTTAATATTTTATTTAGTATTATCTTAAATATTAACCATAAAAATAATTAACAAAAGTTAATCAATTCCCAATCTTACATTTCTTCTCTTTTGTGAATGTTTTTTGGCTTTTGCTTCTTTTTGAAGCATTGCTTCAATTACTTTTTTTGGAACACCATCCCGCCGTAATTGTTTAATTCGTTTAGCTGAGGTTTTGTATTGATTTGTTTCTTTTCCTTGTTGGACTTGACGTGCACTTAGTACTTTTTTCCCATTAAATCGAGACCCAGTAGCCAGTACGCTTGTAATTTTACTTACTTTATTCTTAAAACGAGCAGCAGGAACTGAAGAGTTTGTGATTTTTGTGAATGACTTCTTTGGTTTTGATTCATTTTTCTTTTTATTCTCTTTTGCTTTGTTTAAAGGGTGTTTTCTTTCTTTGTTTCCTGTTCTTTTTCCCTTTCTTTTCTTGTTGTTGTCCTTTCCCATCTTCTCTTAATTACAATCTATTTTATTTCAAGGTTTTGTTGTTTTTAGTTTTTTTAATAGTTTTTAAATAATATTCTTTTATGAAAAAATCACAAAATTTTTGCTGGGTTTGTTTTAGTTATAAAAGAATATTAAACACACTATATCAAATGGTTGATAATAACTTGTTTGCTGACCAGACTTTATTATATGTTTTGGATATAAAAAATAACAAATGAAACACATAGTTCATGATTTCAATTCAAGTTGTGATTGTTTTATGTATAAGAAGTAAATTTTATATAGTCAAAGAGGTGTATTACTATGTTTATAGATGTTATAAGTATATTATTCATAACCAAACACAATAATAAAATAAATTAATTTTTGATTAAATTTATTAGACAATTATGAAAGAATGTGTTTTGTCTTTCTTTTATTATGGAATTATAATTTATTGTATTAAGACAAACAACTTAATTTAATGTTGTTAACTGTATTTTTAATAAAAAAATTTTGTTCAAACAATACAAACATTGTTTTGTGAACAATAAAAAATCTTAGATTTAACAATAATAATAGTACATATCTTCAAAAGAGGTTATGATAAGTGATAGAAAATAGTGTTAAGTTGAAAATATGAATTATTAAGAATAAGATTTAAATCAAACTTTTTTTGTTTTTTTATTCTTATAAATTCCTTTATGTTTGTTTTAATCTAAAAAGATTCTATCTTGTCTTTTTTGATGACTTTTTAATTGAAATTTATTGGGAAAAACAGTATGACAAACTCTAATGACGTTATATGCATTATTGAAGAGATTACTCAAGTTGTCGTTAAAGGTTTAGTTCAAAGGCACCAATTTCCTTTGTTACAAACACAACGCAATTGTAATGTAAGATGTCCAAGGTTCACAGTTAAGAAAAAAAAATATTTCAAATTTCTTGTTATTCTTTCTACAATTCATGAATTAATACTAGCAAATAAACAATTCACAGTAAGGGAACTTTATTATACTCACAAAGCAATCTTTAAAGATCAGACAGAATTAGAAAATTTAATTGGAGACATCAAGTTACTATTTGGAGTTAATGATTTGAATGTGCTGCATTTAACCCATACCCCACGAGGAATATTATATGGTGAAGTTACACTTGTAACACCTCTTTATGTAATGGACTTTACTAAGAAACTTCAACTACCAATTCTTTCGTCTCCATTTCAATTTATTACTCCTAGTCAAAGGTGTTTTCTTTTAATTGTAGAAAAAGAAGCATTTTTTGAGCGTTTAATCCAGTCTCATTTAATTGACCAATTTCCTTGTATCATCTTGTGTAGTAGGGGATTTCCAGATAACTCAACATTTACTATTGCACATCATTTAACACAAAAATCAAATATCATTCCATGTTGTCTTGTTGATGGTGATGTTTATGGTATTGAAATTTTCTTAACTTTTTTATGTGGTGGTTGGAAAAAGAATAGACTTTCAGGAACATCTAAACAGAGTGATGATGGAATTTCATTATTAAGATGGAGTTTATTAAGACCATCAGACTATAAAGGAGTATCTCCATTGACTAGTCGAGAAAAAATTATTGCAAGTCATATGTTAGAATCAGAAGTAGTTAAATATAATCAAGAAATTGAATTAGAAATTAAAACACTACTCAAAAACAATACCAAAATGGAATTAGATGAGTTAGCCAATACCAATGTATCATTTTTTGAAACAACTATTATTTCGAGTTGTCTCAGTCATTCAACACTTTTTAAAATTCCAACAGATATTAAAAAAAATTAATTCAACATTTGTAAGACAATAATTCTGTCAACAGAAAAAGGGTTGTTTGGACCATTATGTCCATTTAAATCAGTATTATTAATTCCATCATACCTAAAAGATATATTGTAAAAAAATGAATTTTTTACATTAATGTCAGCAATAGAATAATAACCAAATCGCATCCCACCCCAAAATTCACCATTTCCTACTTCAAACAACTTATTAATATCTTTGTCATAAAAACGAATTCCACCTTGTTCTCCTACTTTGGCATTCCATTTTGTTGGTTCAGAAAATCGATTATTTGAATTTAAAACAAAAATGAAATTTTTTTCATCATATATCCACGAATCCATTTTATCAACTGGTTTAGCAAAATAAGCACCAAAACTATTTCCCATTTCATCTATTGTAATAAAATATAAATTTGGTTTATTGAATGTAATTGAATAGAATTCTTTTGCTAGTTTTGAGTCAGTGTTTGAGTCATAGATTATTTCTCCTTTTGACATTGAACTCCATTCTACTAACCATTTTTTATAATTTTTCAATACCTCACTTTGTTCAATAGTAATAACCTCTTTTTTCTGAGGTTGTACTTTACTATTTGTTCCACCCATATATCAATTTTAGTTCTCTTTTCTTTTTTTAATTTTTATTGAACTTTTCATTTCATAAATTTTAATAAATTATGTTTTTGCATGTTTTTTCATGAAAAAATTGATTTGAACTTTTTTGTTTTTATAGATTTTACTCATTATTGGAATTTCCTTAAAATCAGATTCTCATTAATCTATTGGTAACTCTTATTTTTAGAAAAAAGGGAAGTTATAATTTATTTAGCCTAAATTAAGTAAATGAATTATATTCATTGGCTAATTCCCTTAATTCAGTTTTTTTTTTTGAGCTTAGTTTTGTACTTATTTAAAAGTCAAAATAAAAGATAATATACTTTTTTTAAAGAATTACATGAGTTTTAATATACTTTTTTATTATCTTTCTTCTGAGAATATTATAAACGTAAAATTTAATAAATAAATGATTAAAAAGAAATGAAAGGATAAACAGTTAATTATACTTTATAACAAAAATACTTTTACTGTTATAAATCCTGTCAAAAATACCTTGAAAAAAATATTCTACTTAATAAACTAAATGATACTTCTATATTTTTTTTTCTTCACATATAACATTCCCTCAATAATTTTTATTCCTTCTATCAATACATTAAAAAGTAGATTTTTATCAAATTTAAACTCAACAAAAGAATTAACTACAAGAATGGGACATCATAAATAAATTAAGATAACTCTTTCCTATTATAATAGATTTATTAAGATATCTTTTAATTGTTAGTAATAATATTAATTTTATAAAGTTGTATTTAAAAAAAAGTCTGACAAATTAGATTATTTAAGCAAGGATTGAATAGACAATCATAATAGTAACAAAGCATATGAAATTGGTGTAATTTACTATCCCTGAAGAAAATTCAAGATGGGCAACGTTATACTCTACACAATAAATAATATTCACTGATGGTGCTGGACATAAACAACACAATATAACACAAACTCTTGTTATATGTGTTGCAACATTTCCAGTAGAAAGATAAATAGAAAGCCCAACAATAAGTCCAACAGTAATTTTAAAAATAGCGACTTGAAGAACAACTTTGATATATTTTAATGGGATTTTCCATTCAAAGAAAAGACCTAAGATACTATAGGCAAGAAGAGTATTTCCTGAAGCTACAGTTGTAACAACTTTTCTAATTACAAAAGGAACAGGAATGTCACAAAGTCCAACAAGATAACCTAATGGATAGAAATACATTGGAACTGAAGTGAAAATAGATTTTAATATTGTAAAAATTAAATGCTTTTTATCTACAGTAGAAGTTGATCTCTTTTCTTTTTTACTTTTTGTGTCAATAATATTTCTTTCTTTTTCTGTTTGAATAACAACTTGTTGAGAATGACCAATATCTTGAATTTTATCTGGTGTAATTATTGAACCATTTTCTTGTAATTTTGGTGATTTTACGTTAACTGGTGGAGTAGCTGATGACTTCATTCCATAATTTGAAAGAGTATCAATACCAACCGAAATAGAAGGACTTGGTGTGTCTAAAACAATAGAGTGTTCTACTTCAGGAATTATTTGTTTTAATTCTTCGTCTTTTAGTTCTATGTCAATGTCAACTTGTTCTTCGTCTTTAATAGATTTATTAGTATTTTGTAATACAGCATAGATTGGTCTAATAACACAATAACAACAAAAGTCGTTACTTAAATTAAATAAAATTGACATTGAAATAGCATGATCTCCATCTAAAATCTCAAGAATTGGAAATAAGAATAACCCAATATTACAACCTAAGCATCCTCCTAGTCTTTGTATCCAAGGTACTTCAGATTTAAAAATAAACCTAAAGATAATAAAACCTCCAATAGCTAAAACTATTTCATATATACATCCTGCCATAAAAACAACCCATGCATCAGAGTCTAATGAATGTTGATTAATAAGTGCTTTTAATACAATGCAAGGTAATGCCATATTAAATACAACTTTCATAAGTAATCCACTATGTTCCCTAATAACTCCACGATACCAAATAATTTTAATAATAAAAGCTATAGTCATAATAAAAATTAACATTCCAAATTGATCAGCAATTCCCATTCTTTGTTTAATCCATTCAAGATGGAGATTACAGGGTTTTGGGAACTATTACTAACAATCTAAACTAAAAACAACACTAAGCTTCACTTACTAATTGCAAATTGCTGACTCACCATCTCAACCCTTTAGATTCTATTTTTATTTTTACTTCCATTTCTTCTGTTTCCTCTTATTTTTGTTTGATTTATGTTTTTATTTATAAAAAAAAAAACAAAATGAAAGTTTAAAAAACTCCAATCATTTAATGTAAAATGTTCTTTTAAAAAAGTGGGTCATATTTCCTTTGTAAGAAAATTGGTTTTGGTGGGTCATAGAGGATCTGCATTAATCCAGTTCCAAGACCTACTTGATTACCAACAATAATACTTTCAGAAACCCCTTTAATTTCATCTTTTCTAGAATGGACAGCAGCATCAAACAAATGATCATTAGTACGTTCAAATGAAGCAAAAGTAAATACAGAATCTTTCATTTTAGAAATACCATATCTTGTAATTCCTAATATAACTCCTTTAAATGTCATTAAATCAGACAATAATAACAAATGTCTTACGTCAATAGATAAACCATATGCATCCATAACATTTTTAATTTCTGAAATAATAGTACTTCTAGCAGCTTCAATGCCAAGTACTTTTTCTACAACAGCAATATGGTTAGATGTAGTTTCTTCTCCAATTACTCCCGGAGTACCCATTACTTTTAATAATTCACTTCCTTCAACTAATAATTCAAATGAACCTTTATTTTTATTAATAACAGCTCTACCAGTATTTTCAATTCCACAAACAATAACTTCTAATAATTGATTTCTTAATGAATTCAATGCAAATAACAATGAAGTACTGGATTTATCTACATAAACTCTTAACTTTTGTTTATTTCTTATAATAACTTGGTTATCTTTTAATTTTAACCCACGATAATTTAATAACACATCTTGAACTTTTTCAATAGTACATTCTAATTCTAATTGTTTAATTGTTTCAAAGTCTAATTTTACTGATATATATGCTTCAGCTGGTTTAAATACAATTTTAACTGATTTAGCAATTTCTTTTAATCGAGTAGCTTCAATCCTTCCTTTAACAATTCTTGCTGACGTTACGTCTTGTGAATTAACTAATTTGGCAGTAACAATTGGTGTTTGAATTTTTTTACTTGCATTAATAATTTCTTTAATACGTGGTACTCCAAGAGCAATATTCATTGACGCTACACCTGCAAAGTGGAATGTCTTTAACACCATTTGTGTTGATGGTTCACCCATAGATTGTCCAGCCAATGCACCAACAGGTGTACCAGCTTCACAAACACTTCTGAGACCTTTTTCTTGACAAATAGAAATAAAATCTTTTAATGTTTGAATAGTAATTCCACATAATCCATGTTGAGCATTTTCTTGACTATAATGATTATAAACCTCTGTCATTTCTTCTTTTTTCTCTTTTAAAAATGTTTCTATTTGTTGTTTCCATAATTCTGAAACAATTTTTGTTTGACTAATTATTGCATTATATTCTTTATCAAAACTTTCTGGTGTAATATATTCATCATCCGGTTTTTGGTTTTGTTGTAAATTCGATAAAACAGATTCCAAATTAATTGGATATTTATCACTTTCTACTTTTAATGGATCTAATCCATCATCTCCATACTTAAATTCAATAACTGTTAATGATGCACTTCTAACTGTTCCATCATAATGAACATGTAAATCTTCTAATGCTTTCATTAATCTTCTTTGCATATAACCAGTTTCTGCAGTCTTTACAGCAGAATCTACTAACCCTTCTCTACCACCCATAGTATGGAAGAAAAATTCTGTAGCATTTAATCCTGTAAAGAATGAATTTTTTACAAATCCTTTTGCCTGTGGGGTTCTTGAATGTAATGCAAAATGAGGTAAAGAACGTGAAATAAAACCATCGGAAACTCTTCCACCATTAACTGTTTGTTGTCCAACACATGCAATCATTTGAGAGATATTAATAACAGACCCTTTACTTCCAGACAATGCCATAACTAATGGAGAATTATCAGATTTTAATTCTTCAATACATCGTTTACCAGCTCTTTCTCTGATTTGAGATAATTCATTATTTAGTAAAGCCTCTAATGTTTGTTCTGGTGTTGAACCAGCTTGAACTTCTTGTTTACCACTTTTATAATCTTCAATAAATTGATCACATTTTTTATATCCTTCACTTACTAATTCTTCTTTCATTTGAGTTAAATCTGCAGATGGTGTAACGTCTGATATTCCAATAGAAAATCCATAATCTCCAAGAAATCTTGCACAAAATCTTGAGATATGTGCCATAATTTTAGCACTTTCTAACGTTCCATAGTCTCTTAAAATTAAATGGAATAATCCTGTTTTATTACCAGACCCAATAATTGATTTTTCTATTTGACCACATAATAATTGACTATTCTTAAAACAAATCCATCCATCTTTAACACACATCCATTTTCCTTCTTTACTATACAATTTACTTGGTACATCTAATGAAATATTAACTCCTTCATGTTTATTTGGTTTTAATGCTAACCCATACAATTGTTTTCCAGTCCATAATTTTTTTGGTTTTAAATATGCTGGTGTTGGAAGATCAATTTCTGTTCCTGCATTATGGAACCAACATGCCCATTGCATCATATCTTCTTCTTCAATAACAAAATCTTTACTTGTAAGAAGATATGATGTAGTAAGAAAATCTTGTGTTTCGGCAATAATCATTTGACCAGTTCTTGGTGTTTGAAGATTCTTTGCTGAATGCATTAACATTAAACATTCAGCTCTTGCTTCTTCTGTTTGTGGCACATGTAAATTCATTTCATCTCCATCAAAATCTGCATTATATGGTGTACATACACATTCATTAAAACGTAAAGTTCTCCAAGGAAGAATTTTTGCTCTATGACACATAATACTAATTCTATGTAATGAAGGTTGTCTGTTGAATAATACAATATCATTATCTTCTAAATGTCTTTCAACAATATCACCAATTTTTAAATCTTTAGCAAACTTTTCTCTCATTTCTAATTTAATACACATAGATCTTCTTAGTCCATCAGAACCACCAATAATACTATTACATCCTGGATAATTATTAGACCCATTAATGACTAATTGTCTTAATTTATCAATATTATGTTTAGTTACTCTTTCTGGATATGTTAATTTTACTGCCATTAATTTAGGAACTCCAATTTGTTCAATGTCCAAGTTAGGATCAGGTGAAATAACTGTTCTTCCAGAAAAGTCAACTCTTTTACCCAACAAATTTCCTCTAAATCTACCATGTTTTCCTTTTAATCTTTGACATATTGCTCTTAATGGTTTTCCTTTATCATCACAACCTGGTAATTCAGAATTAATAAACATTGACACTGCAACTGTTAATTGATCCCATGAATCATAATATTGATATGGTGAAGCTCCTCTCTTAATCATTTCTTTAATTCTATCATTACATTCCATAATTTCTTTTAATTGTGTTGTTAAGTCATCTTCATTTGAAGCATTTCCACCATCCATAGCAACGGATGGTCTAATAGCAATAGGAGGAACTGGAACAGAAGTTAAAATCATATTCTCTGGTGGTGCATTATCTGGATCAAAATCCATTGTTTCTATATCTTCTCTTATAAGACTTCTGAATATTGAAAGAACTTTTCTTGGATCAAGGTCTTCTTGTGCATTATTAACAAATGCATTAATGTCTTTATCAAGTTTAATTGATTCTTCAAATCCATCATAAAATTCATTCATTTCAGTAATAGTAGGATCTCTATGATATTTATCATGAACAAGTCTTAAATTACCATATTTTTTAATACTTCCATTAATAGCATTACAATGAGGACAACTATTATAATGTTTTCTACATTGTGCAATTAATGCTCTTACAAGATAAGTACGTGCAACAGTATCTGTTTTTTTATTTCTCATTCTTCTTAAATAGAAATCACGTTCTTCATTAGTTAAAAGAATTCTATTACAATTTTTACAAACACATTGTAATACTTGAATAATTGGTCTAAAGAATCCAATATGAAATACTGGTAATTCTAAATTAATTACAGCAAAATGTCCACTACATTCTTCTATCCTTTTACCACATGTTTCACAAACACTTAATGAATCACAAACACCTAGTCTTCTATCAAGAACACCATTAGGATTTGGTTTTCTTGTATTTGGTTGAAACAAAAAATGTTCAGTAACTTCAAATTCACTTTCTCGATTCATTTCTTCTTGACTAAACATAGTAAATTGAATATCACATACTTTACCAGGTCTTTCTGATGGACCAACAAATTCAATATTTTCTTTATCAATTTCAATCTTTCCAACACCCTTAAATTGACGTGTTTTTCCTTTACTCATATCAATACTGATTTCTTTCTTAGTTTTTTTTCCTTTTTATTTTATTTCTTCTTTTCTTTTGTTATGTTTCTTTCATTATTCATTAGAATATTACCTACTCTTTATTAAAAAACATTCTATTTAACCACAAATTTGAGTCTTAATCTTTTTTGTTTTTTTTTTATAATTTTGTTTTAGGGTTAAAATATATTAAAAGTATTATTTAATAATAAACTTTTAATATAATTAAAGTTTGATGTATCACTAAACTTAAAAATTTAAAATTATGAATATTAGATGTTATTCAAACAATCAACAATTACAAAATGGAGGTTTGAAGATCAGTTTTAGGACATAAAGGATGTTCAAATTTATAGCTATATACTGACATACTTTTTGTGAATTTTGGTTGAACACGTAAAGAATCAAAGAAAGGATGGTAAAGTAAATCCTAATAAAATGAACAAATATTTACTAAATAAAAGAAATAAATACAAACACCTAATCCCCAATAAGTACCTTTTATATTTTTTAAATATTTTTTAAAATCTGTTAATAATTTTTTATCTTCATTAAGCGTTTTTGATTGAATGTAATTAAATCCTTGTAGTGATTCACAAAATTTTAGACGATCAACATATTCATCAAATAATTCTTGACCTTTTCCTATTATTTCTCCATCAACCTGTATTCTTGAAGAGCCAAAATCACATATTTTTACTACAGCAATTGAGGTTTTCCATGCACTATTATCAAATGGATTAAAATAATAATGGTCTTTCTTTGCTTTATTTATCATTATATTATTTGCATGTAAGTCATTATGCATGAAAGATAATTCTTTTTGTCCAATCATTAAAGCCCAAATAACTTGAAAAATTATTTCTTTAACTTCTTGCATTTCAAATAATTCTCGTTTTGATATTGATTTTCTTTTCGCAAATGTCATTTCCGCATATTCCATAATAAATGAAATTTTTTGTTCTGAGTCTCCTTGACGTTCAGATTCATTTACAAATGATTTAAACCATTGGTACATATAAATAAAATTATTACAATATCGTTTTGTCATTAATTTTGCTAAAGCTTTAAATATTCTACATTCGGCATATGATGTTTCTTGAAAATCTCGAGGTTTTTTAATTATTTGAGTTTTCATTGCAACTTTTTCTGGTTTCGTAGAAACAGATAATTTTTGGTTATATGTTCTTACAGTATTAATTGGGCTTAACGGTTGACTTCTTTTTCTTTGTACTCCATTTTGTCGTTCCATTGCTACAATACTTTGTCGTGATAATGGAACATCAAACCCTTCTGATTCAATTTTACTTTTCTCAAATAAATAAACAGTATTTGATGGTCTTGAACGTTGTCGTTGTGGTGGTGCTTGAATTACTGAAAGTGACTGACGAAGTGGTGGTTGAAGAGAAGGTCTAAGAGATACACGAGGAACATCAAACTCTTTTTTAACTTCAGCAACGAAAACAGTTCCAAATTTTCCATGTGCTATTTCATTTCCAACACTAATTCCATCATTTTGTATGTATGAAGTTTCTGGTATGTCAAAGAGTTGTGAAACGGTTCTTCGTGAAGTTGACATATAACTGTTAAAATGAAAAATTTATTTTTTTTTTCAGGGTTTTCATTTTTATTATTCTTATTTTAAAAGAAGAAAAAAACGGTCGTTGTGGGGGTCGAACCCACGGCCTTCTCCTCCGGAGGGAGATGCGCTTCCACTGCGCTAAACGACCTTTTATCTATACATATGAAATAAATAATCAATAGAAAAATATTAATAAAATAATAATCATTAATAACAAAAATGTTTTATTTCTCATTCATTATAAAAATAGAATTAGTACAATTTGTATTATTAATAAATATCGTTCTTATGAAAAGAAATAACATTATTATTAGTTAAATAACAAGAGAACTTGAATTAAGAATGAGGTGAATAAAAATTGAGATTGAACTGATATTCACGACACAAACAATAGAAATTAGAAAAAAGAAATGGTTAATATAGTAAAGTATAGAAAAAAATAATAAAGAATGATTAATGTCATGAGGAAAAAAGAATGAAAAAGAATCTACTTTTTGTGAAGGAAGGTAAACATACTACAAAAGTTTCTCATTGGAATGTCTTTTCATATCAAAATAAAAATAAGAAACTATAAAAAGGAGAGAAAAAAAATCTCGAAAGTGTTGAAAAGAAAAGTAATGGTTAATACTACATTATTAATTCAAAAATATCATGAATTACTTAATTCAAATAATGCTACTACTGCTGATTTAGAAAGATATCATGACTTATTAATTAATAGTTATTGTTATGGAAATAAGAGTGAGGCATTTAAGGCTTTATTAAACCACAACATTCCAACAGAATTAGAAATTGTTTTTGCTGATGCTTATAATATTACAAAAGAAGTAGTTAAATTTAGAAGTTTTCTTCAACCTGGAATAAATTCAGTTAATTTACTTGAAAGTCTTACTGAAGATGATTTACCATTTATTATAACTAACCTTCCTGATGATATACAAATGAATTTATTATTAGGAATTGTAGAAAATAAATATAGACATGAGAGATTTGCTGAAGCTGTTTTAAATTTTTGTTCACCTAATTGTATTGAAAGAATTAATAAATATCGATCTACTATTGATAATATACCATTATTATCAAAAATCTATAAAAAAGTTAGTTTTCTTGGTCAAGCATCAAATCAGTCTGAATTTAAAATACTTAGAAAAACACTTAGGGGAAAGAAAAATATTACTATTGTTGTAGAAAACCAAAATGGTTTTAGTCTTGGTTGTTATATTAATAATCTTCCAACTTTAATTAAGAAGACTATGAAAAGTAATTGTTCTGTTTTAAGTCTGAAAGGAACTTGTGGTAAAATTGAAGAAAATACAATAAAACAAACAGGTATTATTACTTTAAATAATGGTAAATTGGAATTAAAAAATTGTTTTAAAATTGAGCCTAAAGAAGACCATTTAACTTTTACTTATAATGGTCATTTCGAAGACTCCTTCAATGATGTTTCAACATTTGGATATTCTCAATTTGGTTTTGGTTTAGAAGGGGCAGAAGTGCCATGTATAGTAAAATGTTATTCAACATATTAATTTAAATTTTGTTTTTATTAAAAATTTTGTGTTAATTTCCTTGAAAAAATAAAAATTTGAACTTAAAAAGAAAAAGTGTTTTTAAATAAATGCAGTCAGAAATAAATGATTTGATACAAGTAATTAATACTCAAGTAACATATCCATCTTTATCAACAACTTCACCATTATGTGGAGTTACAAATGACTGTACTATTTTTTATACATATGAAAATAATGAGTTAATAGCATATAATATTTGTTCTAATACTGATCAAAGTGTATGGAAGAAAAGGAGCTTTCTTTTAAATCAAGTTCTTCAAGTTGTTCCATGTGGTGTTTTTATACTTGCTATACAGTCTAAAACCCCTTCATTATATTGTGGTTCTGAATTGTGCGTATTTAATTTAGAGTTAAACATTACTTATGGTCATGCCCTTAGAATTCAACCCGAAGTTATGTCAAATGCTTTTATGGATGAAGATGGTTTTATTAACATTATTATTGCTGATTATCCTTGTTGTCTGAATCTTATACAAATTGATGTGAGTGATAGTAGAAAATTACCGAAAATTACTACTCTAATATGTAAAGATTTTTGTTCATTTGAAGACAAATGTGGATATTGTGAATATTATTTTAAAGCTAAATATTCAGATAGTTGTTTTCCTCCTTTTGATAAAGAATTAAATATTAAATCTAGTCATATTAAGTCAATTCACTTTGAAGCAAATAACTTTATTACTGTTGCATTCGACAATGGTTTTGTCAGTAGATTATTCTTTGATAAAGAGAAAAATGAATGTGAAATGGTGTTGAGTGGGTTTTTATGCGAAGACTATATTTGTTCTCAAGTTGTAGAGTCTTTAAATGGTTTTATGTTAGTGTTTCAAGGTAATTCTAATCAATCTGTGATTTATTTCTTTAAGTCCAATAATCTAAAAGAATGTTCATTAATTAAACCAATAAAAATGAATCAAAAAACTGTGAATGCTTTAGTGCTTCGTTCTATCCATGATGTTGAGAAATTATATGCTGTTCAATTTATTCAAAGTAGAATGGCTCAACCAAATAAAAAAGAAGAAGTTTCAATGGAGTATTCAGTTACTACTATTGTTTACAGTCTTAATGGAGAGGTAATGAAAGAAATAGCACCAGTTTCTTACTCTTATTCAGGAGAACATATTCAATTTCAAACGAATTTTATTTGGTATCGAGAACGATTTAGTTCATATGGACTTTTTCCTAATACTGAGAATTTAATACCATCGTATTCAGTATGTACTTTAATTCATGATTTTAGTAATGTTACTACTTCAATTAACGAAATTTGTATAACATCAGAAAGATTTGAAGTTTGTAGAAGAGAAATACAAATGTTACCAAAATTAATAATTAGAAAAGAAGAATTTTTAAGAGCAGAGGATATATCATACCATAATATTTATTGTTCGGAATTTAATTTAAAAAAATTTAATTTATTAAGAACACAAGAAGGAATTGAACAAGTAATGAATATAATTTACAAATTCGACTTTTTTGATTTTGTATTAACTGAATTAAGAGATTCATTTAATAATAAAGCTGTTGATGAACATTGTATTAAATATTTAACTCAAAGTGTTATTAATGCATATCTTTCAAGTTCAAAAACAGTTTTATGTCTTTTATCAGAATTAATAAAACAAGACAAACATGCATTATTAGCAGGAATGGAAAAAATTCATAGAACATATTCACAAATAGTGACATATCTTGAACTTGTTCATAGTGAAGAATATTTAAACGATATTAAAATCAAATTGAGAAGTATTGATATATTTAAACCATTTATTGCTCAAAACAATATTCAATTTGAAGAGCCATTAAATTTTATGCCAACAATAGTTAATATTATTAATAGAAAAGTGTTTAATGGAATGAAATTTAAAAATGATTTATTTTCTGCATTTATATATTCATTTGAACATGATATTTCTATTGGAATATTATTTTATCTTTATACTATTTGTTGTGGAGAATCAAATTATATAAATATTAAAGAAATTAAAAGAGCATTTAATTTATCATTGTCAGATGGAGATAGAATCTTTTATGATGATATGAGAAATTCTGATGAATTAAAAATGAAGTTATTTAATGGAAGTAAACGTTTTGATTCTTTAAAATTGATTTTTGATAAATTTTATTCAATTGATTCATCTCATAATACCGTTCTTATTATTTCAAAACCTACAATGAATAATTTATTATTAAGACAATGTATAGAGGATGTTGCTGAAGGTTTTGCTGAATATTGTCATAACCAATTAATAGAACTTACAGTCATCAATGAGAAAAATGGATTTTCAAGAAGTGTATTAAGAAATAGACCAAGTGAACTTATTCAAAAAGAAAAAGATGATGATGATACAATTGATAGAATGAAAAATTTTTTTGCTCTTGGAATGCATCAACTAATGAATACTGAAAATGGAATTAAGGCAATAATTACTTGTGGAACTTATCTTAAAAAATTTAAAGATACTTTTTCTGTTGTTAAACAGTATTTAGATAAAATAAGATACACCCAAGACGATATTAATAAATTAGACTACATGATTCCTGAAGATATGAGAACATATATTCAATTAGACAATGCTCCAACTGATAAAATAATATTATCAAATGAATTGATTAATTATTTATTTGAAGAATCATATCATTTACAACGCATTATTGAATGTTATGATGCTATTAAAAATACTCTTTGGAAAGAATGTTTAATTTATCATACTATGTTATCAAGAAATCCTCAACATGTGTTGACATTATTTTCTATTCTTATACACGATAAAAATGAAAATGGTATTAAGAACGTTGTATTATTGTATTTGTATTGTTCTATTGATCTTTTTAAAGACGACGAAGAGTCTTTTGTCATAATACAAAATGAATTTAAGAAGTATGGACGTCTCTTTAACAAAGAAATAACTCTTCTTTTGAAAACTAAACAAGACACATTTTCTTCTCTTAAAGCTGAATATCAAAATTTATGGAATCAAAAAATTGAACATTTCATCGGAAGATAAATTTGAAACAATTATTTAATTTTATTTGAATATTTGGTCATTTTTTCTTTGTTTAAAAAAAATCATTTTTGTTTTTTTCTTTCAGTTTAATAATATTCTTTAATTTAAACAGAAATAACAATACGTAAATAATAGTCTAATGATATTAAAAGTCTCACATTAATTGAACTTAATAAACAACAAAACATTCTTTAACATATTAGTCAATAATAAAGAAGGTTTTAATATGAAATAAATAGAAATAAATAGCAATTAAACAGTGAAGCAATAAGATATTTTATATAATTATTTAATACCTTAAAACACAAAATAAATTATAAAACATTTATGAAAGAAGTCGTATTAAAAACATACAACTTTCAAAATAAAGAAAATAAAGGTGTATTTTGTTCTAATAAAATAAACAGAACAATACAACAACAATACAAAAATAATAATTACAAGAATCAGTAAAGTGATAGGTTATATTTGTTTTTAGATATTTTATTAAACTTGAAAAATCATTAATAAAGTTTATAAAAAATAAAAAAACGAAAAATCATTTTCTTTTATTGTAGTTGGAATGAAAGAATAATTCTAAATGTTATTAACGGTAAATATAACTTGATTCCTAACTGAATAATAAAACACAAAATAAAAGAGTCTTTTCCTGAAAATTAATTTCAATTTTAGTTATAAAATAAAAGTTTAAATACCTATGAATTTAATATAGCACTTATGACAATAAATAAAGAAAATAACATAAAACACTGTAACTGTAACTAAACTATCGCGAATTATATTTTAAGATATCCAGTTAGTTTATGTCTAAGCACAGGAGAACATAAGGAATTTCTCTCAATCAAAACCTTATTTCTTTTATCTAAAATACATCCGTCCATAACATCAAACCCAATTCTTTGACTAATAGTCTCGATTGTAACATTAAGTTCATCAAGTCTATGCGTATAATATAGATAATTATTTAAAGCTTGGTCAGTACCCCATTTTTCAATTTTATCTTTAGGACAGTGCTGCTTGAATAATTCACAGTATCTCTTGACTTTTTGTACATTCCCTATAACAATACCTACATTGACTATTCTTTTTCTTTCTTTTCTTAGTTGATTTGCAAGTCCTTTTCCAAAAGTGTTAACAAACCATTTGTAATTTAATTTTTGGGTATAGTCAATACATTGGATTGTCCCATTTCCTTTACCACTGCACTCATTAGTAAGCACCAACTCATCTGGTCTAATAGTAGCAAATCCATCAGCAAACCACATAACATCTCTAAAATCTGTAATTGCAACTCTATCAAACTCTCCTCCGTGTTGATTTAAATATTCAAGTAGCTCAAAAAAACGATAAACAGCGGCATTACAAACTTGGTTATATTTTAATTCTTTTTTTCTTCTAATAACATCAACATTAAAACTTTTCATAAGTTCAACAAATCCATTTGGTGCTTCACCATACAATACTAAAACTTTCTTAACATTTGGTATTCCAGATTTGAGAATTGACATAGTTTTGACAATTGTTTCTCTTTGTTTAATCCACATATCTTGACTTTTAAAATACATAGCCCAAAATACCAAATCTCTTTTGTTATTTGGTTTGTATCTAAAAATATCTTGGCACTTTCCGTTATAAAGAAACTTAGAAATGTCTATTACTTCATTCTTAAATGTTGGCTGAACAAAAAATTTTCTATAATCAATACTAGAGTTTCCTTCCATATAATTTTTTATAATTATTTTTTTATTGGATCTGAACATAACAAAGAAAAGAGAAGATAACACAAACAATAAACAACCAGCAAATACAGTAAAATCTATTTTCATATAATTAATTAGGTTTATGTTACTTAAAAGTTCTTAACACTAGAATGTGTGTATTTTGTTGAGTTAAGTTTTTTACAATTGTCTTAGTAAAAAGAAATAATATAAAATTTAGATAATAAATAAATAATAAAGTATGAATAGAATTTTTATTTTTTCTTCCTTGCTCAGCTGAGACTAATCATATCCTTGAGTTTTTATTAAAAGAGTAATTTCTTTATTTTACCTATTCCTTAAATTTTTGACCTGGAACATGAATAAATATTGTAATTTCTTTTATTTAAACTATTATCGTTTCAATACTCTTTTTTATCTTCTTATTTGATTGTTACTTTAATTTTGAATATCTTTCTTCATTTTTATTTTATGATTAATTATTTATTTCATTATCATTATTGTATTATGTAGTTTTTCAATTATTATTAACAACATCAAATAAACATTTTCATTTGATATTATTCATTCATAATATTATACTGCATTCTTTACGATATTAACTAGTACATTTATTATTCAAATATAACATCATAATTATATAATAACTAGGATATTTGAGGATTGAATTTGTATTAATATTTATGCGTGTTTCTGGTATGCAATCTTTATTTCATAGTTCAAAAATCAAATCATAAATGAAAATAATTTGATTGTTTTAAGTAATGAATTGGTGTTATTTATTCATATTCAATTTGAGTTAATTATTCTTTCTTCGTGCTTTGTTAAATATATTATTTTAAAATGATTCAATATCGACTAATATTTTTATTAAAGTACTCATTTAATTAATCTTTTTTTAATTTGATTTTATTAAAAAAATGATGATTTATCATTATTTTTATTGGTTATTCATTTTATTTGTTATATTTATTATTATTTCATTTTTATATTTAAATATTATTCCTTCTATTTTAATATGAATTTAGACTATTTATTTATGATTTATATTTATAATGAATATTTTCATTCAATGTTGATTATTGATGTTATTTTTATCACTTTGAATTTCATATCATTTTTGAATTATCATAAATTGAAAATGATGTATCTTTATTTAATAAGAAATTAATTACCATTTGTATTTCTGCATTTCACTTTTATACTTGTTATTATACTATTCATTCTATTAATTGAAGAATTTATTATTATAAATTTCTTATAATATCGTTTGTTCTTTCATTTTTATTTATTTTTTGATGAATAACTAAATGAAAGTAATAAAGAAGAATAAATGTGATACATTATTTTCTCAATAATTTTATTCTGACTCAAAATAATAAAATTTTATTTCGAACAAAACATTAAATAGAATAATACATTAAAAACAATATATCAAAATCAAGTACGAATAGAAGGGTATTTCATGAGGAAAATGTGAAATAAATATTATTTGTGCAAGTATAAAATTATAAAAAAAAGAAAAGAAAAAATTTTTAAAAGAATTAAAAAAAGGATAAGTAAATACAGAGAGTAAAAAATAAAAAGAGAGAATAAAATAGAAATATGAAATAGAAGAATT